GAATAAATTCGTAACATAATCCCATAACCTATTACCCAACACAGATTCTAAATTGCTAAGATAAAGCTGATGATTATTTTATCATATCACGAGTCACAAATATTTGTGTAGCTGTTGAGCCGCTTTCTCCTGAACTTTCYAAATTTTAGAACTTTGTAGCCAAATTAAATAAAAACACATTAGCGTAGACCTTTTACTGACAACGCTATTCAAACGACGGTAGTGGATTTATTAATAAGTATAAAACTTAATTCTCAACTTGAGGTGTTTTAGCTAGTAGAGGTAACTCTATTTTTACATAAAACAGATCAAAATTTCATTTACCGCTCTAAAGTTCTAACTTGAAACTGTCAAAAACTTGACATGACTTTCGATGTCATGAAGATTCATTATTGCTTTTAACATATTTGTTTCTTTTGAATCTCTTATGGTTTAGTAAATTGCAATTTTTCACATTCGTTTTAGATTTCGACGATTTCCATTACATTGCCATTCGGGTCTATAGTTACGTCTCGGTTCAAATTGTCAAAATTGTCAACTCAATCGGACTTAAACTACCGGCAACCGAAATTGAAAGTTTTTTCTTCGTTTACATATACTTTGTTAAGAGCGCGAAAACCCATTGAGCAGAGGAAATTAATTCCACCGGCATAATTATAGTAATTATATATATTAGTATTCAGTTTGTTGATCAAAAGAGCCAAGTTTTGGGGTTGTTGTCAGTATTTTTTCTTTGCATGGTGTTTGGCTATATAGCGTCCACTGGAGGCGAAGTTAACTCCTATAAGCCTCTTGTCTATGCTTTTCAAGACTCTTACAAGTGCTATCTTTATCAAGGAGCCCTTTTTTGTTACCATGAGGGGCCAGATGATCTGAAATAGTGACGTGTAAATGACGTCAATGCAAAACTGAGGTGTGGCTTGCAAAATTTCAGGGCCAGCGAAAAAAAAAACCTGCCTGCCATTGGAAACAAAATATCAAAATCATTAAGTATTGTGTCACTGCGGTTATCAAGCAATTTTTAGGAAGTTTTTTTTGTTTGGCTACTCGGTATTGATTGGCTAACATTTTTCTCATATCATCTGGAAGGCTAGCTAGTCTCCTCAGCAGCCATGTTTCGTATAACGGCTGCTGTAGAGACTACATKATAAGGCGAGTTTGTGTAAAAATCTTATAGAAAATTACACATATGAATAAAAGTTGTCCCGAGACAACTTTACAGACTTTTACATGGAGTTTCGCATAGCGTCGGAAGGCACTGAGGCATATAAATTGCAATAGGACATTGCACGATATATGGCGTCATTGACCTCTACTACCAGACCAGCTCCCTTGCAAACTTTCTTTTGTTCAGCAATTTAGAACTCATTGTCTAATTATTCTCATGAGGGATTAGAAATTTAAATTTGACTAAAGAAAATTCGCGAAGCATCTTGGTAGTCAGATGGTAAATATGCCATTTTGACGAGGCAGCCATGTTGATTTGAACTATAGATTCCACTACGCGTGGCCTCGCATTCGAGTGCTTGAGAATAAATTTATACCAGTGAAACAGAATTTTATTCTCATGAGAATAAACATGGTCGCCGTGTGATAAAGGTCAATGGTTAGGACTCTATTTTAAGACTCTTTAAGAAAGATTTTACATTATGTTCTAATGATTACTTAGCCAAGTGTCTATAATGATATTGGTAAATTGTGCATGGATGGATGGAGGGAGGGAGGGAGGGAGGGAGGGAGGGAGGGAGGATGGATGGATCGAAGTACAAAGTCTATATTTTGATATACATATTCTCACCACTGCTTTCGTAGGACAAACAGTACACCGTATCTCGATGTCCTTTTAACATATCAACGATTTCTCCGTCTACAGTATTGTAAACCTGATAAAAAATTAAGGGAAAAGAAGTTATCAATTTGGTCTTAGATTAATTAATTATAAAGATACAAAGAGGGATATGATACTTTATGGTTTGGCTAATTATTTTTATCTTTGAAATATTTCAGCTCAAAGCCTAGACGTTTGGAGTGACTTGACTCGACAATTTTTTATAGTAAACTTCAATTTAAAAACTTCATGAAATGACGAAAAAGCTCGTCCAATTCTTAGGTCTTTCAATATGATTTTATGTGTATGGGTGTTGATAGGTCAAATTTCAAATCAGTTCATACATCTTTTTAATGATTAAAATAATGATACTGTATATATATATATGTATGTGTGTGTATATTTATAATCCTTCAAGCCATTCAGTGAACTTACCAAAACGACATTGCCCGCCGCAGCAATCAGCCTTGTTCCATCGGGACTAAACGCTAGGTCATATATACTAAAAAAAATGTCCGACACCAATTAATTCAAATAAAAAAGAAAGTTTAAGTAACAAAAATCATTTTCCTGTAAGTTTTTTACTTTAGCATATTCGCTTAAATATACAAGCGGTAGCTAGCTTACCACTGTGGTTGTTTTTGTCTGTCCTCAAGACGGTCGTACCATATTTTGCTTAATTTAGCTAAAGCCATTTCAAAATATCAATCAATATGACTCAAAGTTYATCTCAAGATTTCTTTGACTTTTAGCTTGAATTGTTCTCGTTTGGCTGGCGCTTTATCGGGAAATTCATGGCAGTTTAATTTAACATAGCAAGGAAGCCTGTAAAGGGCATGACATAAGTATTATCTTACTCATATTTAAATATTTGACAGACTGGATCGACAAGGTGACCGAGTGGGACTGAAATAAAAAATAGAAGATACTATAAAATAGTATTTGCTTACAAATGACGTCACTGATGTCAGTTGAACAGCTGATGCTCAACCTTTTACTCAAATTTTATTAGGAAACTTTCATTCGGTTTTTATTTATCTTTAGTTTAGTGCTATATGGGAATAAAATATAACATGATGGATGCACGTCATACTGAGCCAAGATAATGGTTAAAGTTAACTCAGGGACGTATTTACGGGTCCAACTGTTCACAAAATCCAATATAAAATATCCAATCCTGTCAGGAACTTTGTGAAAAAATATTTTTTTCATTTTATTTATTAGTTTTATTTATTAAAAAAAAACATTTTACAAGACGTCAAAAATTAAATGCTCTGCGTGGTGCGACGCGGACAATCATAAGTAAAAAGCCTATTTTTAATTTCAAAAGCTTAAGTATCTGGGGATATCACTGGAGATCTTGGGAAAAGCACAGAATGTCGGTTTTTTGGGGAGAATAATAACTGCTAGTTTAGGGCACAGCAACCCAAGTTACTTCCAGACCAGGGCGGGAGGAGAGAGTTATTTCCCTCCACGCTGTTTCAGACGGGGTACGGACCACGGTACGTACGGATATTAGTTGCATAGCATCCTTCAATCGGTCTGAATTAGTAACGCTTTGATTAACGGAATTAAATGTCGCAAAAGCATGAAAAAAGTTTTAATTTTTTGTACAAACTACGTAACCTAAAAAAACCGTTAGCATGAACTAATAAATGACGTAAAGAATTGGTAATTAATGGCGCGCTCTGATTGGTTGATTACATGTTTTTGGGTGTCGATTAATTTCAACTTTTTGTATATGATCGGATATTTTGGACGTCCATCTTAAAGGATTTGGTCAATACTTATACAGCATTTTATGATTTTATGCCAAGGAAATAATTTTCAAGAGCAATAGTGATGAAGAAATCAAGAAATGAAGAAAGAATAATGACACCCTCTTGAGCTGCGTCCACGCGTGTGCTTGCATACATGTTGTACAAGGAGCATATTGAACAAACAAAACATGCTTGCTTACAACTACAGAAAGGTGATCTAATATCTCTTGTTATTGCCATGGAGTGGAAACCAAACCAAGTTAGATTCAATTTTTAATTATTTCTCTGTCAAATAACTTTATTGATTTGAATATTTGCAATAATTTGAACTTTAAAGTCTATTAGCAAGTTCAAAGGTGTTGATGTACGTCTCTTATCTTGCTTTTAGAACGCTAACAAATTGGATCCTGTACGAGAAATCCTCGCAAAACTAGACGCTAAGCAAACCAGGGTAGGTTCCTAAATAACATTTATATTTCAAATCCTTTTGTTTTATGTTTTTTGTTTGGTTTAAAACGACCTATTCTCTTCATGAACTCACCCATAGCGAGCTATTAAAGCTTGATGTAAGAAAGGAATACATGTCAAAGAACACTTTTAAAATCATCATCAAGAGCTATTTTTCACATTTATCTCTTATTAAGATCCTATATTTTCGTCGGTAAAGAATATTTTTAAAGAATTCCTTTTATTAAAGGACCTTTATTTTTGATAAATCTGCAAATCGGATAGGCAGACATATAATCTACTTATATAAATTAGTGCGTTTGGAACTTGTTGCTATGACGACGCAATGGACGTTCCTGTCAACAAAGTGATATTTCAGCCATTTTAGGGGTTTTAATTCTTCTATATGTTTTCCATGATAAAAATTTTATTTAACAGCAAACACTACACGACATTTTACTTCTAATTTTTCGTAAAGTGAACCATAACATTAGGAGAAACATTTCGTCCTTCATAAAATAGATGAAATAGGAGAGGAAAAACACGAGAGTTCAGCTTATTTTTCATTTCAGTCAGAAAATTATTCTCAGAGCCGTTAAATTGCTATTGTTTTGTCCTCTAAATTAGACTGTATTGGGAATATCTTGCAAAGGGTCGATTCATTTTTCATATTTTGAAGTAATATTTTTCTTTCAAACTTTTTGTCTTACCAAATAACATCCTCGGAAACCCAGGGGTAAAATTGTGTCACTCGTTTCTCACTATTATTTTCTTCTGGTAGAGAGGAACAAAAATTACTTGAGAGAAAAAAGTGAGAAATGCCAATTTTTTGAGTATTCTTTATTTAATATCTATAGACAGGTCTTTCTTTATACAGTCAAGAGCAACGACATGGTTCCAGTCCAGCAATAGTATCTCCGAATAGGACAGGTGATATTCATGTTTTTAAATATTCATTAGGTTTATATAATATATTAGGTGTGATGTTCGTTATATTATGTTATTAGTATAACGTTTTTATTATTTGTACTCATTTAAACATATTCGTTCAAAACACAAACCCSAAGGTCGAAAGCCCTCATCTAGGGTTCTACATACAACGTTTGTACAATAAATAATGTAAGACATGAAAACAGAAAAATAAATTACAAAATAGCTCATCAATATAGCTATGAASTCTAGCTTGTAGAGGGGGTTCCTATTCAGGGACATCTTGTCGAAAGGCAAAATAATAGAATTTTGACTTCACCAGATTTT